CCAACTTCCTCCCTAAGGGGGCCTCCCGAGGACATGAACACCAAACCGAGTATAAAGAAAGCAGGGGGATGTAGAGAAGCAGAGTGTGGTAAGAAGGAGCAAGGAGAATCAGTTCGCGTCTCCTCATCGTTTCCTTTTTGAATGACCAGAGGAAAGAAAAGGATAAGGCTCTGCGAAGACATAAGGAAAGAAGAGCAGACAACAGAAAGGAAGCGGTAAGATGCGGGAAGACGGTTCGGAGAAGAAAGGAGAATTCCTCCTTCGCTCGCCTCTCTTACTTCCTTGCCCTTTGCCTTCTTCCTCTTCTCTTACCCTATTCATCTTCATAAGGAAGGAGAAATGAAAGAAACGGAGAGTTCAGGGCATGCAAAGGGCACTCTTCTCATCACCTCACCATCCTCCTTTTCATTGTTCTCTCCAGATCCCTCTTTCTCCCTCCCTCCCTTCCCGTCTACTTCTGCACATTCCCTTTTCCGCTTCTCTCCGCCTATTATGTTCGTTCGCTTGGAAAGAATCGCTTGCCCCCTATTCCTTCTCCTCCTGCCTTTCCTGCCTCCCGTCAGAAGGAAGAAGGACAATTCACAAGGAAGAAGACAAGGGAGTAAGAGAAAGACAACAGAAGCGGAGAGACAATCCGAGAAGGGCAGAAGAAGAACGAGAGCCATAAGGAAACAAACACAGAAACAAAGAGAGAAAGTAAGAGAGAAAGACCAGCAAAAACAGAGGCAGAGAGTGAGAGAAAGGAGGGGAGGGGAAGCGATGCAGAAAGCAGTCGAAAGTGCCTTGCTTGTCCTATCTCACCGTCCCATTGGTAAAAAACCAGGAAGAGGTTGTGGAGGAAGACAAGGAAGAAGTGTTCTCGTCTTCACTCACCTTGTGCCCTTCTTCTCCCACCGCTCGGCCGCTCGACAGAAAGAAGAGAGTTGCGGAGAGGGCGAGAGAGAGCTTCAAGCCCAGCAGAGGAAGAAGAGAGAGGAAGATACGAGAAGTGTGGAGGAAGTGGCCAAAAGAAATGCTACGTAATGAAAGAGGGGAAACCAGTTTCTCCTCTGCTCTTCCTCTTTTCTCTCTTATTCTTCTCTTCTCGCAGGGCATGCATGGAGCCAGGAAAGGGAAGGGGTCAAAGCAGATGAGAGAAAGTAATGGAGAGAGCTGTTCTTCGTCCCTCTGACCTCCTCCTCTCATTTTACTCATATCAGAAGGGTCTGGAAAGGAGTGAAAGGTAGGGCATGGACTGAAGCGAGGGAATAGGTGAAAGGGATAAGAAACAATGTTAGACAGCTTGCCGAAGGCGGCCAGCTCGCAGCTTGCCTGCGGCCTGGCCTGCTGAGCCTGGTGGGCTTTTGAAGGTGGGCAGGGGCCTGCTGAGATCCGCGGCCAGCACGCCAGGCTTGCTTTGAGGCAGGGCCAGCTGGGGAGCCTGGCCGGGCTGAGTGGGTTGGGTGAGTGAGTGGGGAGAGGGTGGAGAGGAACAGGGAGAAGAGGGTGGGTGGAGAGAGGAGGTAGAGGGAGCGAGGGGTGGGAAGAGGGAGGTAAAGGCAGGTAGAAAGGGGAGCAGAGTGAGATGGCAATCAAGAAGGGTTACGGGTGAATGAAGAAGCGCGGATGAGGGGAGGGCGGGTGGACAAAGGGAGGGGAAGAGGAGGGAGTGGGGAGATGGGTGGAGAGGTAGAGGGAGTGGAGGGTGGGTGCGTTCTTTGGATTGTATAGTCTAAGGGTTTTCTACCAAGGGTTCCATATCAGGGATCTGTACAGAGGATCTATAGATTTCTATAAGGAGTATATAAAGACTGTGTATGAGGGCGCCATATAATCGATCTTTCAAAGATTTTTTTATAAAGGATTCCATTTGTGGGAAACATAAGCGGTTCCTACAAATTCTTTATCTCGAGGATCTGTAAGGTTTACATATCTATGAAGCTTTTCTATATGGGCTCTATAGACCCCATAAGACAAATTAAAAAGTGATGAATGCGATAAGAAGATGATAAGAAGATGAGTGGATGGGAGAAAAAGTGATGGGAGGTGAGGAGACATGAGATGGGAAGGGAAGGAATGAGTTAGGAGTGGGGGAGGTAGGAGGCAAGTGAGAGGGACAGGGTGGATCATTTACAAACGCGTTTAGAGGGACGCTCCTTGCGATGTGTGATTTTTGGCTCTGAGTTCTTACAAAGCCTGAGAGGGGCACACCCCTTGCGATTTGTGATTTTTGAACTTACTTGTCATGAAAACCTTTTGGGGACACCCCTTAAGATCTGTGGTTTTGGGATCTGAGTTTTCACAAAACCTTAGGGGGATATTTAAGAAGGAGAGAAGGGAGGGTGGGGGAGGGTGGAGATTCCAGGAGAGAGAAAGGGGAAGAGGAGAGAGGTAGAGGGAGTGGAGGTGGGGGAGAGTGAGGAAGGTGAGGGGAGGGGGTAGTGGGAGGGATAGGGAGAGGGAGGGAGGGGTATGGGAGGAGGACGAGGGATGAGGAGGAGGAAGATAGTGAAGATGATGAGGTGGATGATAAAGAGAGAGGGGGTGGAGTGAGGTGTGTGGTGGGATGGGACGGGGTGGGTGGGCACGGCTGCCTGCTTCCGCACGCCCAGCCTTCCCTGCCCGAGCCGCGACCGAGCAGAAAGCATGTAAATATCGCGCTATAACAAGGGCTAGGGATTTCACACATCTGCTGGCAAAATCTGGCGGAAGTGACCTGTGGTCCAGCAAAACACCTGTAAATGCCGCATGAAAACAAGGGCTAGGGATTTCACACATCTGCTGGCAAAATCTGGCGGAAGTGACCTGTGCTCGAACAAAACACATGTAAATACCGCGTGAAGACAAGGACTAGGGATTTCCCACATCTGTTGGCAAAATCTGGCGGAAGTGACCTGTGATCCAGCAAAACACCTGTAAATACCGCGCTAAAACAGGGGCTAGGGATTTCACACATCTGCTGGCAAAATCTGGCGGAAGTGACCTGTGGTCCACCAAAACACCTGTAACTCAGATCCGAAAACCATAGATCGCAAGGGGTGTCACCCTAAGGGTTTTTGTAATAAATATGTTTCAAAAACACAAATCGCAAGGGGTGTCCCCCTAATTAATTAAGGTTTTGTAAGAACTCCATTACTAGAATCACAGATCGCAAATATCGCAATGAGTGTCCCCCTAAAGGCTTTTTCAACAAATAGGTTCCAAAATCACAAATCGCAAGGGGTGTCACCGCAAGGCAGGGTGGGAGAAGCGGGGGAGAGGCATGGGGTTAAGGGCAGGGGGCTGGGGCCCTTTGGCTTGGGCTGGGGTTGGGCAGGGCTGGTAAGCTTGGAATTCGTGGCTGCGGCTGGGCCACTGTTGGGCAGGGCTGTTGGCTGAAATTTTGGGGGCGGCTGGAGCTGGGTGGGCCGGGCCATGGGGCAGGGGGGTGGAGGCGGGCTGGGGGGGGATTGTGGGGGCCGGGGTTGGGGCTGGGGCTGAGGGCTGGGGCTGGGGGCTGGAACTGGGGGCTCGCGGATTATACAGGCTTTCTGCTCGATCAGAGATCACTTCCGCCAGATTTTGCCAGCAGATGTGAGCCTTGGTTTTGACGCGGTATTTCAAGCTTTCTGCGTGATCACCGATCACTTCCGTCAGATTTTGCCAGCGGATGTGTGAAATCCCGAGCCCTTGTTTTAACGCGGTATTTACAGGCTTTCTGCGCGATCACCGATCACTTTCGCCAGATTTTACCAGCGGATGTGTGAAATCCCTAGCCCTTGTTTTAACGCGGTATTTACAGGCTTTCTGCTCGATCATGGATCACTTCCGCCAGATTTTACCAGCGCATGTGTGAAATCCCTAGCCCTTGTTTTGCCACGGAAAGCTGCTAAACCCGTGCTCGGTTTTAGTGTGGTATTTACAGCACTTTGACAAGGTCGCAGCCCGATCGCACCAAATTTTGTCACACAAAGTTGCTAAACCCCTGCTCGGTTTTAGTGTGGTATTTACAGCACGTCGACAAGGTCGCAGCCCGATCGCACCAAATTTTGTCACGCAAAGTTGCTAAACCTCTGCTCTTCAACTTAGCGCTTTTCGGATTCGGCTGGGGCGGCTCTTTCTTGGTGGCGGCTTCGGGCGGGCTGGGCCTTGTTCTGGAGAAAGAGGGTTGGGGCTGGTGTGGGGTGGGAGTCTTAGCAAAGCTGGTGGTTGAGGCTCTGAGGGGAGCGCGGCTGGCAAGGCACGGAAAGCAGCCGAGGGGCAGGGGGGGCAGAGAGGGAGAGCTGGCCGGTGGGGGCGGGCGGCTGGGACTGGGCTGGGGGGATAGGGGCAAAGGCAGGGGGCAGGGAGCAGGGGCAGAGAAGGAGAGCTGGCTGGGGCTGGGGGGCGGGCGGCTGGGGCTGGGCTGCGAGCTGGCTGGGTCAGGGCTGGAGCTAGAGGCTGGGGGCTGGGTGGAGGCCACCGACACCTATTTAAATTTTTAAAAATCTTTAAAATCTTTAAAATCTGAAAAGCTTGGTTTTCAAAAATTAAAGATTTTAAAGATTTTAAAAGCCTTTAAAGTCTTTAAAATCTTTAAAATCTGAAAAGCTTGGTTTTCAAAAAATAAAGATTTTAAAGATTTTAAAGATTTTTAAAATTTTAAATATGTGTCGGTGGCCTGGAACCCAGACCTAACGATTTAAAATTTTACAAATTTTTAAAATCTTTAAAATCTTTAAAATCTGAAAAGCTTGGTTTTCAAAAATTAAAGATTTTAAAGATTTTAAAAGCCTTTAAAATCTTTAAAATCTTTAAAATCTGAAAAGCTTGGTTTTCAAAAATTAAAGATTTTAAAGATTTTAAAAGCCTTTAAAATCTTTAAAATCTGAAAAGCTTGGTTTTCAAAAATAAAAGATTTTAAAAGCATCTGAAATCTTTAAAATCCTTAAAATCTGAAAAGCCTGAATTGATATAGTATTGATAAACAAAGCAAGGCCATACGTCAAATAGACCCTAAAGGTCCTACGTACTTAGGGGTTTAGGGTTTAGGGTTTATATACTTAAGGAATGAAGTTCGGATGAGATGCAGCCTCGCTCTCGTGGTGCTTCTCCTCCCTCAGCAAGGTCTCCTTCTTGTTTGCCTTTTCACGAAGCAGGACCCAGAACTCCTCGACGTTGTCGTACATATTCTTTCTTAGATAGCAAGAAGGCTTGTGGTTTCAGGTTTAGCAGTATCATTGTATTTACAGCAAAGAAGCCGGACGTGTGTTGCCGCTCTGGCCCGGCAATATGCCATTGCACCAGCAATCCGGGACCTCAGCTGTGGTAACCATATATAGAAATGACTCTAAAGAGATTGACACAAATTCGTGTAAGGATGCTGCGGGGACCACTTGAGGTCTGCTTTCATCTCAGCCTCGCTGTACCAGCCCTCCTCCCGTTCCAGCACCTGCTCGTCCCGCTTGAGAACAGTCTTCTCAACCAGGTTGAAGAATCGTGCCTCGGGTTCCGGGGCACAATATGTTTTAAGGTGAGACGGGGAAACATGTATGCTGCTACATATTTTGTATGGTTTCCTGAAATCAAGAGACCTTGTCGAAGTTGCAATCCACTAGCATTTGAGCTAGCTGTTTCTTGTGCCCTTCCTTGAAATGTTGCTGCACATATGCCGGTGGCACCAAATCCGTCCTTTTTGTCTTTGGCCGCATCGTTCGGCCGATTCTCCCACGAGCAGCGAGGACCAGTCGCTCCTTGAGGGATTGTGGGTTTGAGGCAAGGGTTCAGGGACTAAAGTGTATATTGAGGATGATGTATTGTAATCGCATCAAACTTATCTAAGCGTGGTTTTTAGCAATGTCCTGGCGGGTGAATTCTTTCTTCGGCTTCGCCCGGGGTTCGGTTTTCACTAGACCTTCAGTCGGTTCTTCATCATCATCGGCGGGAGGAGCAGCAGCAGTTGTCGGGGCTCTGGCGGGAGTGGCGACGGGACGTGGCTTCTGGTTGGGATCGGCCGGAGCGGCGACGGGGTGTGCCTTCTGGTCGGGGACCGCCTGGTGTAGCTTTGGTGCTGGTTGCTGCTGGTTTTCTTCCACAGCCTCCTGCTTCACTCGCCACATTGCATGCAAGGTCTCCTTCATCTCAGTGTCATCGAACTCCTTTGTTTCTGAAATGCTGCTAGAGAAAAGCACACCCCAAACCGGGTTTAGGGTTTAGGGTTTAGGGTTTACACCAAGAAGTGTAACTTAGGCTGCTCGGTTGCATCTGCATCAATGACTTCGGGTTCGCAATCAGCCGTCGTAGTATGCAGGCCCAATTCCTTGAGCTCCTCATAAGTAGCCTGACAGAGAACAAGACCACCCACAACTCCACACCGGGAGCAAAACGAAGCCACGATCAGCCCGAACGTGCGAGACTAGCAACCGGAAGAGTGGCAGCCGAGGCGACTTCCGGGTCCGGCATCGGCGCTTTTGCCTTTGCTGCAGGAAGCAGAGGGACATGTGGTATAGGCTTAAGAGCTTGGGGGCTTAGTGGTGTCTGGGCTTATGCAGGGTTTTCGAGAAAGATGCGACACGTGTTTGGTTCCTTTGGGCGATCTCTGGGTCCATCCTCGGGGCTTTTGCTTCTGGTGCAGGAAGCAGAGGGAGATGTGGCTTGGGTTTAAACCCTTGGGGCCTACGGGGTATCTGGGCTTCTTTGGGACTTTGGGGTTTTGGGCAAAAACTGGGGATGCTTTGGGTTTCCCTTCCTAGAAAAGATAGATACATATAGATATCCTTAGAACACCCCAAAAGGCTCAAGCTTAAATACCATAAAGCCTAAGCCCTTTAAGAAGGCTCAATACTGGGCGAGGACACATTCTCCTCGGCTTCCAGTGATCTCTCCAGCTCCTGCCGTGGAATCGAGAAGGGACCGGGAAAAACAGACCAACAGACAGAACAACAAAGAGAGAGACAGAGAGAGTAAGACCGAGACGGCAAAGGCATTCATCCTGCAGCTCTAGAAGTAGCCGCTGTTCTTCATCACTGCACTCTGTCAGATTTGAAGAGCCAACACCACCGAAGCCATCATCTAGGCTAGCTGTGCTGGTGGTGGTCACAGACCCACTCATCTTTAGACAGGGCGAAAATAAAGGTTCGGCCCCCTAACAAAAAGCTTCTCTGAGCCCCAGCATACATTGCTCAGTCAGTGTCATCAAATGAACATGGCACAGGCAATGCAATGCGACAGCTGTGGTTGCAGAGGCCGATTGAATTTTCCGACCGTGAGCAGCCATATACCTGTGTAGCGGCAAGAGGCCAAATCAGGGCCCAACAAGAGTGCTGCAATCCCCACCTATTCCGTCTTAAACCTGCACTAGGAACCAACCGATCCCCACCTATTCCGTCTTAAACCTGCACTAGGAACCAACCGTGAAAACCCATGAAAATCCATATTTTAAATATGGGTTTTCACGCTTTAAATATGGGTTTTCACGCCTTTCTTCACGCCTTGGCTAAAACCGGGTTTTACTAGGAGGTACTAACTTCACGGGTTGCTTCATGGGTTTTCACGTGTGCTTCACGGGTGAAATATGGGTTTTCACGCTTTAATTCATGGGTTTTCACGGGTTGCTGCACGGGTTGGCTTCAGACCCTGTACCAAAACCGCAAAAACAGCCCCAAAGCCATCTCAGCCCTCAGGAAAACCACCCAAAACCCTCCTAGGAAAGGCTTGGCCCTTATGAAAACCGCCCAAAAACCCTCCTAGGAAAGGCCTGGCCCAAGCCCGACACCAGCAAATCCCAACAGAAGCCTTCGAAAGTGCTCTATATGTTGCCTAATGGGGATCCAGCACCTGCCGTCCTCACTAGCAAAGTAAAGCAGCCCACGAGGCCGACCGAACCCTCCATTGGACCCGAAAGCCGCTTTGTAGATTAACTTAAGCTATGTATTTAACATTGAACCCGCCAGGGGCCGACTTTGCACGGCGGATCAGATCGCCGATGGCCCGTGCCGTAGAGAGCTGCCTCGAAGAGGGTTGGGGAGTTATAAGGTTCTACGGGTTTAAGGTCCAGGGTTTCGGGGGCAGTTTGCAAAGTTGAAGAAAGGTGTTAGACTGCCTAGGGGGGTTGGGTCGGCTTCGAAACCACTTGAAGCACTTGGCCGCTTCGTGGTTTTAGGTTTTCTCGGGTTGAGCTTGGCTTCGGAGTGCTTTGTGGGGCCAAGGTTCTATATATATATATATATATATATATATATATATATTAGGAGCTGCCACCACCGTGTAATAGTGGTATAATATAGGAGTATAATAGGGCCCTAATATATATAATCCTTATGGTCACTATTACAGGGTGGGGGCAGCTTCTAATATATACACATATGTATATATATATATATATGAGAGAGGCGCCTCTAGGGTCCATTTTACGCTCTATTCTTTTCTGTGTGACTATTATTATTTTAAATAATTGAAATAATTGAAATAATTGAAATCCCCTCCATTTCAATTATTTCAATTATTTAAATCCCTGGGTTTGGTGGCTTGGGCCCATCGAACCTTCGGATTTCAATTATTTCAATTATTTAAATCCGCCAAAGGGCCCAAATAATTGAAATAATTGAAATCGATGGCTGTTCTGGCCCAAGCCACCAAACCCAGGGATTTCAATAATTGAAATAATTGAAATAATTGAAATAATTGAAATGGGGGGATTTCAATTATTTCAATTATTTCAATTATTTAAATCCGCCAAAGGCCCCGAATAATTGAAATAATTGAAATCCACCCCATTTCAATTATTTCAATTATTTCAATTAGTTCAATTATTTCAATTATTTCAATTATTGAAATCATTGGATTTGGTGGCTTGGGCCCATCGAACCTTCGGATTTCAATTATTTCAATTATTTAAATCCGCCAAAGGGCCCAAATAATTGAAATAATTGAAATAATTGAAATCGATGGCTGTTCTGGCCCAAGCCACCAAACCCAGGGATTTAAATAATTGAAATAATTGAAATAATTGAAATAATTGAAATAATTGAAATGGGGGGGATTTCAATTATTTCAATTATTTAAATCCGCCAAAGGGCCCAAACAATTGAAATAATTGAAATCCCCCCCATTTCAATTATTTCAATTATTTCAATTATTTCAATTATTTCAATTATTGAAATCCCTGGATTTGGTGGCTTGGGCCCACAGAACCTTCGGATTTCAATTATTTCAATTATTTAAACCCGCCAAAGGGCCCAAATAATTGAAATAATTGAAATAATTGAAATCGGCCCCATTTCAATTATTTCAATTATTTCAATTATTGAAATCCCTGGATTTGGTGGCTTGGGCCCATGGGTCACCTCCCCACCCCTCCCCCCCCTACTATCACCCACCCACCCCCCGTGCCCCCCACACCTTCAGGGGCCTACCCCCGCCCCCCCACCCCCACCCCTGCCTCCTCTCCCTCCCTCCGGCTGCCCCCCCGCCCCTCCCCCTCCCTTCCATCTCCCCTCCCACCCCTGCCTCCTCCCCTTGCCCCCTGCCCTCCGCCCCCGTCCACCTATCTGCTAATCCACCTCCCCCCCTAAACCCACCGCCCCTCAACCCCTGAATCCACCTCCACCCTACCAAAGAGTCAGCGAAGATGTCATTCGACAGAACAGCCTCGCCGTCAGGATCGGTGTTGGAAATGGGAAGAGACAGCAGGCTCCAAACCGCCGTGTCTCACCCACCACTTCAAGGGCTAGGGATCCCACACATCTGCGGGCAAAATCTGGCGGAAGTGATCCGCCACCGAGCAAAAAGCCTGTAAATACCGCATTAAACAAAGGGCCAGGGATTTCACATATCTGGTGGCAAAATCTGGCGGAAGTGCAATCGGTACTTCTGTCAGATTTTGCCAACAGATATGTGAAATCCCTGGCCCTTTGTTTAATGCGGTATTTACAGGCTTTTTGCTTGGTGGCGGATCACTTCCGCCAGATTTTGCCCGCAGATGTGTGGGATCCCTGGCCGTTTTTTGAACGCGGCATTTACAGGCTTTCTGCTCGGTCGCGGCTCGCAGGGATTATACACCCCTGCCCCCACTCCACCCTCCCGCCCCCTTCATACCTCACTACCCACCCCCCTATCTCAGCCCCTTGCCTCGTACCCCATCACCACCCACCACCCACCACCTATTATCCACCACCCGGCACCCCTCACCCGCCACACCCACCACCCACACCCTCCCCACCAACCACCACACACCACCCACCACACACCACCCACCACACCACCCATCACCCACCACCCACCACCCACCACTACCCAGCACCCGCCAGCCACCACTACCCACTACCCACCACCCACCACCTACTCCTCCCCATCATCGTTATCACCATCCTATTATCATTTATCATCGGTTTATCACCTTTATCACCCACTCCCCCAAACCCACCCCTCACCACGCCAGCACCTCCCCCACCCCACCCACTACCCCCACCCCCACCACGAACCCATTAGGGTCCAACAGGGCTGCGGACACCCCACCCCCTCTCCATCATCTGCATCATCTTCATCAGCTTCATCATCTCCATCATCTTCATCATCTCCATCATCTTCATCATCTCCATCATCTTCATCATCTTCTTCATCGTCATCATCTTCGTTGCCGGTTTCATTGGTTTTAATACCGCTCCCTCTATTCTTAAAGGTAATTTCATAGGTATTGTACGAACCATAATACAATCGATTTATCTTAACTACTATATCAAGAATAGCTTACCACATCGCATCTACATACTTTGTAACCGGGCTTACTATAAAGGCCCCATATGAGGGATCCATGATGGGTTTCTAGAAAGTCTCTCTGTAAGGGATCTATAGTTTTTTATATAATGGGTTTCTATAAGGTCTCTACATAGAGGATCTATAAGATTTCTATAAGCAATCTGTAAGGGTTTTCCAGAAGGGCTCCATACGAGGGATCTATACAGGCTTCCATGTGGTTTCTACAAAGGGTAAGGAATATATAGCAGTTGTCTAAGAAAGCTCCATGTAAGGGATCTTGTAAAGTTTTCTACAAAGAACTCCATTTGTTGATTTATACGGGGTTTCTATAAGTTCTCTATATAGGGGATCTATAAAGTTTCTATACGAATCTATAAAGGCTGTCTATGAGGGTTCCATACAAGGGATCTGTGAAGGGATCTATAGGGATTTTATCATGGGAATGTATACCTTCGATACGGATAACTGCGCCTTTGTTAAGATCGTGAAGACTATTAACTACGTGATATCCTTCTTGGCTAATGCTGTGATCACATCAGATCTGATATGTATAGAGATACATTGGAAGGCACATGGGAAAACAAACTGACACATTACAGGCCTTCTAATGTGTCATTATTCCTATTGAAACCCTAAAGGCAAGGAACTTATACACTGTAGGGCATCTGTATATTGGAAGGTCTCTGGGTAGTATAAATTGACGCATTACAGGCCCTCTAATGTGTCACTCCACTGCTTCCTATGGAACCTCTATTGCAATGGAACTTTTCCACTAGAAAACCCCTGGACATAATAAACTGACACACTGCAGGCCCTATAATGTGTCGCTCCACCTATCCTATTGAAACCCTACTGATAAGAAATTGATACATCGGAAAGCACTTTTTATGGACATAACAAACTGGCACATTAAACCCACTAGAATGTGTATCTTCACTTCCTGGGTCCTGGACTGGGCAAATTGATATATTCCATGCCCTCTAATGTGTCACTCCATTTCTCCTACTGAAACCCTACTAACAAGGAACTTATACACTGTCAGGCCCCTGTACCTGGGCATATCAAATTGACATATTACAGGCACCCTAATGTGTCACTCCACCCACTCCGATTGACCCTCTACTGACAAGGAACTTATACACTGGAAAGTCCAGGACATAACAGATTGGCACATTACATGCCCTGTAAAGTGTTACTCCACTTCCCCTGTTCAAACTCTATTGACTTGGGCATAACGAATTAACACATTACAAGCCCTCTAATGTGTCACTTCATCCCTTCTACCCCTATCGCGCTGGTCTCTGCCGCTAGTTGCAGGCAGTGGGCCATTCACTCAAAGGGAAAACTGTTTGTGAG